CCTTCGCTGCCAAATCGTGAGGATCGTGGAGACGTCTCCATTGAAGCGCAGCTTTTCGACACCCCCGACTCCTCTCCCCTCAGAACCCCAAGATCATTCCGATGTATCAGTCTGAACATATGGGCGTTCCAAGGGAGAGCCGCCAGGGAGCGCTCAGGCGTCACAGACGAAGACTCTCTCACTCAGTCGCTCACTCTGGCAAGCGCCAGGGAATGCTATGCACAAGTGGGGATCCCCGCGTCGGGCACTCCTGCTACTTTTGTGCCTGTGCTTTTGCCAGGGCTAGACCAGGAGTCCACCATTGTTTCCGTCGGTTTGTGCATTGCCGCATTGCACGGCTGTGCGCTCACGTGTGCGCATTTGCGTGTACGGCCGTTACCCTTGGTGTGCTGACCCTCCAAAGCCCTTGCGCTAACACCAGGAAGTCTGTAAGTTTGCTCTTCCCCCTGCAGTTCCTTTCGGCGGGGAATAAAACTCGTTCCTCCTCTTCCTCATGCTCCTGTTCCTCCTCCTCTTCCTCCTCCCCCTTCTGCTTCTCCTCCTCATTATCCTCCTTCTCCTTCACGATCATGTTTCGTAGTTTTATTGTTATATTTTTAATATATCAATACTTGTCTACTAGAGGCCGAAACGAAGAGATGAAGGACGTGGAGGCCCTCGTGGTCGTTACCGTGGTCGTCGTCGTCGTCGTCGTCGTCGTCGTCGTTGTCGTCATCACGTCGGAGATTATCCGTCAGGGCTTCGCCCCTGCGCCGGCCCCCTCTCTATCAGAATGGGATATCTTAGAGTCGCGTCGTTGCGTCTCGGCGTTGCCTTGGCGCATCTGGCAACGCCATGCGGGGGCGGATAGGAATCATCAGGGCATATTGAGACGTTGGCGTTATCCTAGTGGCCTTCACCCCACCCCGCCACCGTGTCTGGGTTGTGGGTCTGAGGCCTCTTGTATATGTGTTGGGGTGTAGTGGGGAGCCTTTCGGGGGCCTCTTGGAGGCGGGTTCGGCGCCTCTCGGGGGCCTCTTGGGGCCTTTTGGGGTATCATTCGGGCCTCTTGGAGGCCACTTTGGCGTGCTTGGGCGCCTCTTGGGGCCTCTTGGGGCCTCCTGGGGGCTTCTCGGAACGCTTGGGCTATCTTGGGCCATCTTGGAGCCCTCCTGGGGAGCTGGGGCTATCTCTTACGCTGGGGCTATCCTGGGGGCTCCTTTGGGCCATCTTGGAGCCCTCTCGGGCCGTCTTGGGGCCCTCCTGGAGGTGTCTTGGGCTGTCTCGGGGCGGTCTTGGGAGCCCTTTGAGCCATCTTGGAGCGTTGGAAAGCCGGAAATGCGAGAACCCCAAACTCCTTCAACAACCTTTTTGTAACATCGACGACGTTGGCCGCTTGGGGCTCTCTCGGGAGGCCTCTTGGAGCGCGGGGCTTCTTGGGGCCCTCTTGGGCCGTCTTGGAACCATCTTCGGGCGCCTTGGAGCATTATTGGCCTCGGCAATACGAAAATGGTATAATTGGCGATGGCTTTTTATGGCCACGTGGACGCGATTGTTTGATAATTTGTGAAGGTTTCTTGCTTCGGGGACGCAATGATTCATCAATCTGCTAGGGTTGGCTGCTTTGGGGGCGAGAATTTTGCGCAATTGAAGCGGGATTCTGGTGTCGGGGGCGCGACTATTGAGCAATTTGAAAGGGTTTGTGGACTCGGGGACGCGACAATTGTAGAATTGATAAGGGAGTCTGGCTTCGGGGACGCGAGCATTATATAATTTACGAGGGTTGGTTGCCTCGAGGACGCGAAACTCAGGTAATTAACACAAAAGTTTGTTGCCTCGGAAGCACAATAATTGCATAAGTTGCAGGGGTTAATGGCCTCGGGGACGCGAACATTGTTGAATTTACGAAGGGTTGTTGCCTCGGGGACGCAAGAATAGTATAATTTGCAAGTGTTGCTGGCCTCGGGGGCGCGGATACTGTGTAATTTTCTCGTGGCCCCAGAGGCGCGAATGTAGCGTAATTTACGGGAGGTCACGGCCTCGGGGGCGCAAACATGGCGTATTTTACCAGGGATCTCGGCTTCGGGGCCGCGAATGTGCAATTTACGCGGGATCGTGGCCTCGGGGGCGCGAATACAGCGTTTCCTACGATCGATTATTGCGTCGGGAGCGCGAGTCTCAAGTATTTTTACGTGTCCCCCGGCCCCGTAGGAATTCAGACAGCGCGGCTCGCGGACGGTAACTGGGCCCTTTTCGGCTCCCCTCCCTCGCGCAGGCTTCAACAATTTACAACAGGAAGCAGAAAGCAGGACTGTAACATTGGAAATTGGACACTGGAACTGGTACAGGGTGCAGCAGCCCTCATCTTCGCAGCCTGGTGGCCCCACAAGGGGGCCAGCGGATTTCCTCTCTATTGTTGGGCGGGTTGGACAATGTTGGTGGGTTCTGGCTCCCACGGAATACAGTCGGGGCGCTGAAGAAGGAACCCTTTTCGTTGGGGAGGGGCTCGGTGTTCCTTGATTGTGTCACGGCTTGCCTACGGTTTGCCTTAGGTTTTCGATGGGAAGCCGAAGATTAATTACGTGCGGATTCGTGTTGTTGTTTGTTGTTGTTGTTTGTTGTCGTCGTCGTCGTCCCACCCGCAACCCGCCCCGCGACCCTCCCGCGACCCACCCGCGACCCACCCCGCGACCCACCCCGCGACCCACCCCGCGACCCACCCGGCGACCCACCCGCGACCCACCCCGCGACCCGCCCGCGGCCCACCCCGCGACCCACCCGCGACCCACCCCGCGACCCACCCGCGACCCACCCGCGACCCACCCGCGACCCACCCCGCGACCCACCCGCGACCCACCTTCGACCCAAACCACCTTCAAGGTACAAACCACCATTTCCGGCGCCTGCGGCGGGCTTTTTTGCATTCCTTCCAGGTGGAGAGCCCGCGACCCACCCCGTGACCAATTTGCGACCAACCCGCGACCCAAACCACGCTCAGGGTACAAACCACATTTTTCGGCGCCTGCGGCGGGCATCTTTTGCAGTCGTTTCAAGTGGAGTGCCCGCGGCCCACCCGCGACCACGTTCAGGGTACAAACCAAATTTTTCGGCGCCTGCGGCGGGTATCTTTTGCATTCGCTCCCGGTGGAGAACCCGCGGCCCACCCGCGACCCACACCACGTTCAGTGTACAAACCAGATTTGTTGGCGCCTGCGGCGGGCTGCTTTTGCATTCCTTCCAGGTGGAGGTGGAGAGCCCGCGACCCACCCGCGACCCAAACCACGTTCATTGAACAAACCAATGCCGAGGGGGAGGAGGGGAAGGAGGAGGGGGAGGAGGGGGAGGAGGGGGAGGAGGAGGGCGAGGAGGGGGAGGAGGATGATGATGGACGACAATGGGAGGACGATGATGGAGGCCGATGAGGGGGAGGACGACAATGGGAGGACGATGATGAAAGGACGAGGGGGGGAGAGGGAGGACGAGGAAAAAGAGGAGGAGGAGGACGAGGTGGAGGAGGAGGATGACGATGACGATGAGGACGAGGACGAGGACGAGGAGGAGGAGGAGGAGGAGGAGGAGGAGGAGGAGGAGGAGAGCGCCATCGACAGGGAAGGTGGGGGCCACGAGGTCCGCCGGCTCGACGACGCCCGCGTCGCCCGCGCCCGCCCCCTCACTCTTATCCGCAATTGCAGGGTGCTACGTATTTTCCCACTATTGTTGGGCGGGCTGGTATTGTTGGGGGCTTCTTTCTCCCAGGGAATACTTGAACCTGGGGCTACCCTGCGCGACATAGGGACGTTGAGCACGTTTGTAGGAGGATCGCAGTATAGATCGACACATTCTTACGATCTCCTCTTTCGTCTCGTCGTCGTCATCGTTATTGTTGGGGGGAGGCCTTGGAGAAATATGCATTTTCCATTGTTGTTCGGGCCCCAGTCCGTCAATAAGGTCGCCGAACAGATAATGAGTTGCCATAATAGGTTGGCGAAGATTTATCGAGGTTAACTTAACTGCCTGTCTGTTCGACTAGTGTAGACTCGTGTCGTTTCGACGCGGTAGCGACCCCAGAGCGGGCGTTCAAGGTTTGATTGTGCCAATCGTTTCTTATTGGCCGGCACGGGAAAATCTGCACGATCGGGAAGCCGCGATCGCTCAAGGTTGAGCGATCCACGCGGCGTCAGAAACCAGCGCCGAACACGTCACGACACGAACCCACCACACACAGGTCTTCAGGGCGGGGACCGCCTCGCTGGACCAGGACGCGCTGCTGGCCGACGCCGCGGAGGTGCCGTGGGCGATGCCCGGGCGGCGGCTGGCTCCCGACTGCGGCGCCCAACGGCGGCTCATGTTGTCCCTCGACGGCAAGCTGCAGGGCGACCTGGCAGTTGAGCCTCTGGGCGCAGCGCGGGCAGGGCTGTGGGCTGAGCCGCGCCGAGCGCCGTGCCCTGATGGTGGCCTTTGAGCGCAGTGCGCCCCAGCGGACGCTGGAGCTCTACAGGGACCTGGCGTCGGCTTAGGGGCAGATCGGCCCGGACCGCGCGGCTTGCAACGCCGCCCTGTGTGCTTTCGCCCAGTGCGGCCAGGCAGACGAGGTCCGGGGCACGGTTAGGGGGGGTTAGGCTCATAGAGAGATCGGGTGAACGACGACGACGAACTTTCGAGGCGTGGGGTTGTCTCACGTTTTCGTTTCTTCTCGGCGGCTTTCCAGCCTCGGGATGCCTTCCAGTGGCTGTGCCTCGCCGAGAGCGTTCCGGGGGGTTCCCGCATCGTCCCGAACGGCCGTTGGAGGCCCGAGTTCTGGTCCGAAAACCACCGGGGCCGGGGAACGGCTGAGGGGGGAACACATCGACCTCCAATTCCCGATTCGCCGCCGATAGAGGCCCGATATCGTGAGAAATTCACTCGGAGGGTCCTATCGCCGATCTGTCGGCGATGTATCGCCGATTCCAGGTCGATGATCCGCCCCCTGGGCCAGTACCCCCAAAGTTCTCGCTCACGAGGCCCTAGCGCTGTTTCAGCGGATGTGCCTTCTCGGGGCCTCCGACTTCGGGATGGCCCCCAACGGCAAGTCCTACGGCTGTGCGATCAGGGCCTGCACCGCGGTCCGCAGGGACAAGGCAGCGCTCACCCTGTTCGACTGCATGGAGAAGGAGTCGAGCAACAAAAGCTGCACAAACAGGAGTCTTCCGACCTCCGCGCGGATTTCTTGGATCGCACCAGGCCCCCCTGGTGGCGCTGCGCACCTGGCTCGCTTGGCGCGCCAGGAATTCTGCGCCGATCCGAGATATCCGCGCGGACCTCCAGCAGCTCATGTGAATGTCTGTGCTTGTTCCTCTGAGGAGGGCATCAATCCGAACCGTTTCGCCTACCACGACGCGATCCTGAGCTGCGTGAGGCTCAGGAAGCTGACGAAGGCCAGGAGTCTCTACGAGAACATGCAGAGGGATGGCGTGCCCCCGTGCGACAACACCCTCGGCCTCCTGATCCGCACGTGCACGGCCCTCGCAGAGCAACAGTTGGCAACAGACACCACTTGCAGGAGGCCTGTGCGGATCTGTCGGCTCGGCAGTGGGCCCGAGTCCTTGGCGGCGCCTGCGGCGCCGACCCGAGCAAATCCGCCCAGGCATCCGAAAGTTTCTGCGTCTGCAGCTGTTTGCTTCCCAGCTTCTGCGTCTGCGTCTGAAGGCGCGTGGGTTAGCCGCGGGTCCGGTTTCCACACGACATCCGCGCGCTCCGTCGCCAGACGAGGCTACATTGGCCTCATTCTTCGGGGGGGCAGTTTGCCCGATCCGTGGACCTGGCGCCCACGCGCCAGATGTGTGACCCATGTCAGCGCGTGCCTGATCTACAGTCGACCCGCATAGTAAGGATGGGCAACCTTCCCAAGGGTACCGTTGCATCCTTGCCCCTTTCGGCCCATCCTCAGCGACTTTCACTGGCCAGCCTCGTTTTGAAAAACGTTCACCTGGGCCTCCAAGGCCCATGCATCCTTACCGCGCATCCTTATGCTACGGGTTGACTGTATCAGAGGCAACGATAGGGGAGGGAGAGGCTCAGGGGGGGAACGCATCGAGCCCCAATCGCCCACTGGTCGCCGCTAGCCCCACCCCGCCCGGGAACGTGCGGAATTGTGATCGAGGGCTTGTCTCTGGTCCATCGGCGACATATCGTATCGTCGATTCCAGGTCGATGCCACACCCCCTGAGCCAGTCCCCCCCTTTCGTTGCCCCTCGATCGTCGAGCCGGAGATCGGCTACATAATTGATTTGCCCAGCGGTTTTTCCCGCAGAGGCTACAAACCAGATGTAGACTGTTCGCAGATCTACGAAGTCTCTTCGTCTCCGCAGATTCGACGCACATGTAAATTCTGAGGTGAATGTACTATGTAGTCGATCCCCGTATCGAAATCTTTAGGCCAGGGGCCTGCACAAGGAGGCGGAGGGCCTCGTCCGCGACTTCTCCCGCGCGAAGTCCGCGGAGCAGGGCGGGCCACTCCACGGGGGCCCCGCGGAGCTGGGGTGTGTCCTCGCCGCGCGGGCGGCGTCCTCGTGACCTCTCAGAGCAGGAGAAGGTACCCATACCGCTGCTCCTCCTAGAGATGCCTCGTCACCGCGGTCGGGTTCTCATCGAACTTCTGGTCAGAACGCACTCCAGGAGAGGTTCGTGGAGCAGCGGTATCGGTACCTTTGTATCCTTTTAACCTGCACCTGCTGAGCCCAAGCGACTTAGCGGCTGGCCCAGGTCAGCGCTGACCTGGGTCAGCGCATTCCCGCAGCGCGGCGAGCCAACCGGCTGCCCGCGCGGGGACCCACAGTTTTTACCGTTCCTCCTGGAGGCGTGGAAGTGGGCACCAGCACCAACTCAGGGGGTTGCTTCCGCCGGGGAAGGTGTCGTGGATTCTGGTGCTGGCGCTGGTCTCTCGGCGACCTCGGAAGACCGAGTATGACCACCATCACCGAGACCCCGCGGTCACGAAGATCATCGCGCTTCGCGCACCGCGGCCTTGGCTGGAGATGCGCCCTTCTCCAGGGCGGCGGCGCAAGGGGGCGAAGATATCCGTGCGTCGCGCACCGCGGGGCGCGATGCGCGAGTTTGGGGCTCAGGATCAGGATCGTCTTCCCTCGGTGGAGGCAGCCGGCGACATTGGCGTTGTTTCCACACCCTAGGCCTCCGACCCCGTTGCGCGCCGCGCACGATGCGCCAGTGTCGCGAGCCGCGTGCTCCCAGCCGGGCGCTCGCAGTAACGCAAACGTCTGCTCAGGTCCGCTCGGTGCCGACGAGCAGCCCTCGTCCTCGACTGGCACTCGCTTGCGCGAAGTGCCGGTGATCCCCATGAAGGTAGGAGGTCTGGAGGGAAGACGGGTTCTGGATGTTTTGTTCTCGCTGGTTTTCGAGTTCCTGGGGTTCTTCTTGGGATTGGGCCGAGTTCAAGAGGCTTCTCAGGGCGGAAAGTTGGCCATGGAAAAGCACCCGCGGCACAGGACCTTCTATTGTTGGAAGCCGCTCCTTTCATGCCAAGGT